AGAGCGGATATGTGTGGGAATCACGAGCTGCGCCCTTTGCAGAGCACCTCCGCGCTGGTTTGGCTGGTTGACATTTCCTTCTCTGGCCAACGCCAGGCATCGAGGCCAAGCCGACACTATAAATCCCACTTTGGAAACGCACTTTTCAACAGGGACAGGGTTTGCCAAAAACCGCTCGGCCCCCCTCTCACCCCATCCCGGGAGCCTGCTGGGTGCCAGCCAAGCGCGCCGGGAGCACACGGCGGGCAGCGCAAAGCCAGGCCAGGCCGCGGCCACTGCACGAGGCTGCCCCAGGCACGGCCGAACACACACGGCGCCAACACAGGCAGGGAGGCAGCGGCACAGGCGCGTGAGCACTCACACCCACTTTAATCCCGGACGGCACCCGGCCGAGCCCGGAGCCGGGCTCAGAGCAGGGGGATGCGGGAGGGCTCCCAGAGGCGTCGGGCCAAGTCGCAGGCCTGCTGGACCACGAGCTCGGAGGGGATGATGCCCAGGTGCACCGTGAGCAGCTCGTAGCACTTCACCACCTCTGCCTGGTGGTTCTTGCTGTAGTAACGCAGCAGCCTCCTGGGGGAAACAGATGGGGGCTCTGCACGGCACATGTGACATCACCCACCCTCCAGCCCCTGTCCCCTGCGACGTCCTTGGTGAGGGTTCAGCGCCAGCCAGACCTCAGCAAGAGGCTGGGCTGCTGCAACCTGGGTTCCCACAGGTACAGCATCACTGAGGGGGCCCCAGCACGTCCCCTGGTGCCGGGGCTGCAGGGCTGGGAGCCCACGCTCACCTGTAGTAGTCTCCCGCCAACATCCCGATGGGAGCAGAGTCATCGGAGAGAACCGGCACCTCCATCACCTCCAGCTTGCAGCCCTGGGGAATGGTGACAGCAGAGGGCAGGACTGTACCAGGGAGGGGACAAGCGACGGAGCCTACGGAGCCAGAGCACACGGGTGCCTACAGCCCTGCTCCCTGCCCCGAGGAGGCCGCTGGGGCAGAGGGGCTCGGCCCTCCCCTCCCCACATACCAGCTCATTCTCGAACCAGAGGAAGTAGGAGCAGCAGTAGTCGCCATCCTGCAGCATGAGCGTCGT